ATAAAAGAATTTTAAAGTCATGAACAATGTTGCATATTCGTGCAATATTCGCCATGGGCCAGGTCAAATTGAACATATCAACATTATTACATATATCCAATTTTTCTACAAAAATTCATCGAATTTTCATCCTTAATCATTTGTATCTGTTTTTCTTCTTTTTATTTGACTTTTGCCTGTACATTTATTCCAATATTTTTTTTTTTTATTTACTGACGATCTTCTGGAAAAGTTTTTTGAGCAATCCCCAGATAACGTAATGTTGAACACACAATTTTCCACCTATGGTAGCCCAGAAGAGCCCGGAACATCAATGCTCTTCGGCCCGGAATTCTTAACATCCACTTTTTACCACCTTTGCTCGACTGAGGTATGACCTCGAGTGTTTATCTTTTAATTTTTTATTCTTCGGTTAAAAATCCTTTCTATTCCTTTTCCTAATTTGCATTTTCAATAACCCAAATTATATAGTTATTGAAATTCTGTTACGGTCAAGAGAATAAGTATGTTATGCCTTAATAGTACATGGCATGTCTTTTAAGAATTTTGTAACTTAGACAATTTCCAAGGGAGCTAGATTAGTGTAACTTAGCCAAAAAAAAAAGGTGTAAATTTTTTGAAATTTTTTTAATGTATTAACTATGGTGAATCCATGTAGACATGCATTGGCAAATATGACCATAGTTGAAAAAAAAAATTATGATCGTAGTTATTAATTCAAGAGATCTGTTTAACTTGCTACCTCTTTTACATGTTAAAAACTTCATTACGGTCAAACAAAACGTTTCATCCATCTTCCAAAAGAAAAAAAAAAAAAGAGTTAATTCCAACGTGTTCTCTTCAACTTATTAGAATTTGTATTTTGGCCGTTGAACTTCAAATTGGATCACTTTGGTCTCTAAAATACAAAATTTGCCCCATTTCAATAATATCATCGACAAAAGTGAGACAGATTTTATACTTTAGGGACTAAAGTGTCATATTCTAAAGTTCAGGTACCAAAGTGAAAATTCGAGTATAACCTACCAAAAAACAATGCACAACTTTACTTAGAAACCTCCACCAGTTGGTTTTCATTTGATTTTCTTGAACACAGTACCATTATTAGAGGACTAACTACACTTTGTATCTAACCAGGTAACCCAAAGACATCTTAAGTCTTGGGAAGGTGGGAGGTCAAGGGTTCAATCCTTGCCTCCCACCAAAAATTTGCTACAATCTGTGGCGGTCTTAATTGATTTTCATCGATGGAGTCTGTACTCACATCGAGTCCCCTCCTCCTCTCCCTATATTAGGATAGATTAGGTTATAAAAATTCTATCGTTGCGACAAAAAAAAAACTACACTTTGTATCCTGAACTTATACCATATTTTTACTTTATACCATAAACTTTAATTTTAGACACCTTAGACTCTAACATCTCATATTTGTTCACTTAAGTCCAATCTATAATACGGTTAGCAGTATAGAGGATTGCGCAACAAATCCATTTTTTTACATGACATGTGGGGATTATGAGATGATGGTAATACACTACTACCTAGCAGAGTGATTGAGGTATATGTTAGGTACATGGTCCTCTATTCCATTGCTTTTGCAAATGCTATTACCCATTGGACTTAAGTGGGATAAATCTGAGATATTAGGGTGCAAACTTTCGAAATTAAAGTTCATAATATAAAGTGAGAATAAGGTATAAGTTTGGGATGCAAAATGAAATTAGTCGTTAACTAGATGGAATACAAATTTTAACTCAAATTGACCCAAGAAATCAAGTAGACCATTTCAGTTTTTGTATAAAATGGCTGGTTAGTTCATGCATTATGTCTCTTTCTCCAATATAATTGATTTAATGTTCAATGCACACAAGTTACCTCAATTGGTAAAAATTAGTTACTTCCTTACAGAAAATCAAGTGTTCGAATTGCATCGCAGCAGCGACCTATGATTTTGGGGAAATGCTTTTAACTTGTGGTGGTGACCAAAATCGAATTCATTCAAATTTTTATCTACCAAAAAAATCAACGCGCACCTATGGTGGTATAGAAGCCTTATGCAGGATGCAGCTCCAACATTATTACAATATTCATTATCTAGTTTTACTTAATTAATAAATGATATACGATATACCTTGAAGAAATTAATTATTTAGGATAATATGACTAGGATGATCCCGTCAAGCAAAACAAAAAAAACTTTCATTTCTTTTACTCCAATAAAGGAATCGTCTGCTTTTCATTGCTTTAACATAGATATGTTTTAAGATTCATAATTTTTTAAAGGATTAATCTTTCCTAAACTGACAGTATATACACTGTTAGTTTTGGATGAATGATAACTATATAAAATTTGAATTTGAAATCTAACGTTTGCACATGTGTAATGAATCCAACGGTGATAATGTATACACTATCAGTGTATATAAGATTTACTCTTCCTTTAAGTACAACCAATAGAAAATAAATATGTGTGCCATATGACATTCTCTGTATCTCGTCGAATTTAAGTAAAATGGTGCGATCACATTTTTCTGGTCTGTATACAAATAATAATTAACTATTAAATCTCATGAGCATTAATACATAGGAAGACTAAAGACTTATTTCAGACGACCAGAAAAAATTAGAAAGAGAACTTAGGTTAACTAAAAGAAATTAAGTTGTTTGTCTGGAGGAAGCAAATGAGCATTTTATTTTCTCCAGTAGATGAAAAGCCAGATAGGAGATGTAACGTGCTCATCTTTTTCAAATCCCACTTTTCTAAAAAGTCTGCTATGGTCATTTTTTTCTTGGGCATAGACATTTTGGTCATATTAATTTTGATTAACTCATTTCTGGACTACTAGACAAATGTTTATCTTCCCAACAAAGTAGGCAATTATTGTCTTTTAGATTTACTATCAGTTTTCATGCAGGCGTAGAATACTGTACCCTTGAGCTTTTTTCCTGTGTTGCTCTCTTCGTGTGCAGGGAAAAAACAAATTTTTTTTTTTTAGGAAAAAACATTTTGGTCTCAGTGATTTTCATTTTTATCCGTGTGTGTGTGTGTATGTGTAAAGTCTAATAAGATTAATTGAATCGTCTCAATACTTTTTGATCACTTGTTATCATCGTAAAGAAACAAAACACAAGACAAGATGGATTTTTTTGCCAATTCCAGCAAACAAAAGCACTTTGTTCTGGTACATGGTGCAGGCCATGGAGCATGGTGTTGGTACAAGCTGAAGCCACTGCTGGAGTCTACAGGGCAAAGGGTCACAGCAATAGACCTATCAGCCTCTGGGATCAACACAAAAAGCCTGGATGAAATTCACACACTTCATGACTATGCAGAGCCACTGATGGAGTTTATGGCAGCAGTTCCCCCAGACCAGAAGGTCATACTCGTTGGCCATAGTTTTGGTGGCTACTGCTTGGCTCTTGCTATGGAACACTTCCCAGAGAAGATCTCAATAGCAGTTTTTGTAGCAGCTTTTATGCCTGATACTATTCATGATGCTTCATATGTTGGAAATCAGGTAACTCTTTCTACTCTCACATTATTCTTCTTGTCCTTGTTTGTTAACAAAAGAATGAGGGATTTTGGGCTTCAACCATTTCTGATGAGAATTGTTGGAGAGTGGAGACAACTGAAGACTGAAAAGTCCTAAAAAAGATTTGAATAGATGTGAGGTAGACTGGCATCCTACTTTTTATCAAGGGTTGCAGGATGAAGCAGTAAAATGGAACCATTGCTTGATTCAATTGAATTCTATGTTTTCTTGACATGTGTGTAATATTTTTCTCCAAGGGATCTCATCTACCATATCTCCACAAATGGTTCAAATTTGCCATATATAGGTATTCTCAGGTATACACAGGAAATGTCAAATTCATACGTGTATCACAATCTACGGGTCTACTTCTGGAGCATGTAATTCACATATGATATGAACAAATTTGATTTTCATGGATATCGTCTTATGTCAACTTTGTAACCTATACATTTTGGTGATTACTATTGCAATCTATATCAATTTTGTGACCTATACATTTTGGTGGTCTCAGTGTCTATGAACCTGCATCAATTGTTAGTTTATACAAGAACATGTGTATTATTCCTTTTAGCTTATGTTCTAAACTAACGTTTTCTTGAAAGTGTTTTAAATGGTTTTCTCCACCAATGCTGGATGTAATGTAAACTATACTTACATTTCTGGTTATCATTTATAAACGAAACAGAAAACACTACTCCACTCTGTACTTCTGTAATTTTCTCTTATAGTCAGATACTTAATTTCCTTTCTGCATTGATATTTTCCTGATGCTATTCTTGAAAAGTTTGCTGAGCGGTTCCCAGCAGAAGATATGTTAGATACCGAATATTTTGTCTATGGTAGCTCGGAGGAGCCAAGAACTGTAATGTCTGTTGGGCCAAAGTTTTTGGAGATAAATGCATACCAACTGTGCTCCATGGAGGTATGATGACTCAGTTGTTCAAGAACTCGAGAATTACACACTTTCTGCATAGAATTTTACATGCCAACTGGACTTGATGCGTATAAATTTCTCATTTTTCTGTTCTGACATGAAAATTTGAGCTTGCAATTGAATAATCATATTCATTTCCTTTTCCAGGACCTTGAATTGGCAAAATTGTTAGTGAGGCCAACCCACACACTTAATCAACATTTTCCAAAGGCAAACAAGTTTTCAGCAGACAAGTATGGCTCAGTTCAGCGAGCTTATATCATATGCAGTCAAGATAGAACATTTCTAACAAGTTTCCAGCACTGGCTAGTAGAGAATATAGGGGCAACAGAAGTTCGAGAAATAAAAGAAGCAGACCACATGGCAATGCTTTCAAAGCCCCAAGAACTTTGTAAATATCTGCTGGATATAGCCAACAAAGTACATCTAAGCTGAATTAGAAGGATTATTTGTGTATTTTATATAGTAGAAATAAAATAGTCAAGAGAGTAAAATCACAACTAAAATGCTGCAACTTTTTCCCTTTCATGTTTTGAGACAAAAAATTCTGATTTCTGCATAAGAAAGTACTTAATTGCTCAGTATTCTATTTTCTGACAGAGGAATAGTCCTTTCTTGCCAAGTAATTGTGCTAACATGTAATCCTGACAAATATCAATCAGAATAGGATGCAAATTACAAAACATTTCCTGCATGTCAATTGTTGACAAATGCAGATAAAAGGAAAATGAGATTCTCAGGAAGACAGGATAAAAGATAAAAGCCTCAAGTAGAGTTCTGGCATCTTCTAGTAAGAACTCTGTTTTCATAGCTCAAATAGTAAAACCAGTCACCCCTTCGTGACGGTTCTTCTGCTTTTTCAGTTCTAAAATGGCCTTGTCTTGCGACCTGATGCTCGACCACATAGGAGAGCATTCTTTGGAATAGGATACTCGTCTCTCAATGAATTTGCAGGAGAATATACGCGAAGATAGAATTGCTGTCCCAAGTATTGACGAGCCCAGTTCTCTGATCTGACATTCCACATCCCAACATTGTCCAGAGGCATGTAAAGGGCAGTCCATGACCTTGGATAAACCTGTATAGAAGTTAGAGATATGAAAATTAAGTTTGACCTCAATTGCACAATATGCAGGACTGCACATTCTAAAGGGAGCATGAATAAATGAGGCATCAAACAATTTAGATCGCAAAGTATCAGGTCTGCTATAAATTGTCGTGCATGAATTTCTTACTTGTACATAATAGTTAAAAGATATGCACTTTAAGAAAGATTCAAAACCACCAAGTACCTGAACGGTGCAACGAGAGATTCCATCACGCAAGTTGTAGTTTGATCTGCTGGCAGGTGACCACTGTCCACCATCCATCCTGCATACAAAACATGCTCAAGTAACTTCATAAGCGAATCTAAACACTTCAGCAAAGTTTCCCAGAGATAATACTTCTATAATTTATTTCCACAACAAACTGGAAAAACTCATCCTAAAGCCTTGTATTTGTGATAACATGTCATGCTATTAGGGCAGAAGCCACATAATCTATGAACAAGATCTTGATGTCAAGGCAGACGACTTACCCAACAACAAAGAAGATATGGCCATCAATGTGCCATGACTGGACAGTGTCTTCCGAATTCTCAAACACCACCTCAAAGAAAGCTCTAAAATCAGCGGCCATAACTGAAGTTTGGAGGTAACCACCCGAACCAGTGGGATTGTCAGGCATACTACCAAGAGAGAATACCCCCTGAATGTTGTAGTAGTCCGCAAGTTTAAGTGGCGTGTCAGCTGGGACAAATGACACACTGTTCACGGCATAACTCTTCTTACCATTGATGACAGGAGCAGAGTTCGCCAGTCTAATGGTACGTGTAGTATTCACCATTCCATAATGATAAGAGCCTTGAGGGTTTGGTCTTGGTCCACTAGCCGTTAAGTTTTGCCTGGTTTGATGCAAGAATTGGACTAATCAGGAGATCTTCTAAAGGTTGATAATGGAAGTAGACAATACTAATTGACATTTGAAGGCAAGCTACTTTTTAAATGAATTAAACACTAGCTTCATGAAAATCCAGTGATTATCAACTAAAGCCAATATATTAAATCTTCCTACTGACAAAGAAAGCAATCAATGTAACTTTTCATGGTGATGTCAGGAAATCTAGTTACATAAAAGCTGTAGAGGTGATACGATTATAGTTCCATTAGGACATTATTAATGCAAAAGAGTATATTCTCAAACCATACCTGATGGATCGAGCCTGGTTGAGAGACCAATCAATCTGAGTTGTTGGACCACCAGGGGGAGGCCCAGCAACACTTACTGCTGAGTTGCTGTAATGAAGAAGGGATGTTGCTGTAAGCACTTGGGAGGTAAAACGTGTTGAGAATACTATATAATAGTCTCGTGCAGGTTGGTCAGCAGTGACCAACACAGAGCAAGACTGTCCCAGATGGAGATCAAAGGAGTCGTAGGTGTTTTGCAATGTATGGGTCCCTTCAACCTCAACTAACAACATCTTGTGCCCCTGGATTCTGAAATTTAGGGATGTCACAAGCCCCACATTCGATATCCTGAACCTATAAGTCTTTCCTGGACGACAAAGTTTTGGTTCATTTAGAATATTAACAGAATGATAAGATACACGGGACCTAAGTAGGAGGATTGCTCTTTCATTACCTTGATCAACAGTGAATGTATAACCATTTGATCCACGGCCATTTATTAGAATGCCATCAGGAAAGGGAAGGTCATGTCCACCATCTAAAATTGCTCTCAGATCCTAACAGGTTTAAAATGTGGACACATCAGTTATCACTCTGCATATGATTCATCAAAATTTTGTAACCATAAGTCACAAATACCGATCAACAATTCCTTCAATTTAAAACCCAAGATCTTACTGTGTGATTTTGCTTGAACCAATCACCAGCCAAGATGGTATAGTCTGCAGCAGGAGGTGGGAAAGGAACAGGAATGACAGAACGGCTGTAAATTCTGATGCTACCATAGCCTCCAGCAGCTTTGTGGAAGGCGAGGGAGGGAAAGTAGAAGAAACTACCAATCTGATCCTTCACTTGAAGGACATAAGTGAAGTTCTTTCCTGGAGGGATAGGACAGTTGGTTCCATAAACTCCATCTTGCCACGAATTCCTTCTCTGCTGCACGCCATTCCTGCCAAGTTTCCAAACCAACAGAAAGAAAAGATTTTATTACTTATCTTGAACTGCTTAATATCTCAATGATTTTGAAGTAAAATTCAGGATGATACTGCTCCAAAAAAAAATCAACGGACTAAAAAGCCAAGTTAGACTACAACCATTTGAGGCTAATTAAAGGAGCAGATTCACGAAGAGCCCATCAAACTCTAACTGAACATCTCCTCTAAGAAAACATTTCCCCCACTTGTCAACTTTTAAGAAGACTAATGCAGAAACAGCATCACTCCGTGCCCATAACATTCCAGAGGAAGAAAATTGAAAAGTATTCACAGTAGTGGAATTGTTTTAAAGGCTTTTTTGGTCCTTCACTTCAGTTGGATATTAAAAACAAAAGCCTGCTCTGAGAATCACTAAGATAATGCAAATGTTGTTGTCAGCAGCCAGCACCATTTAATGCCAAGTAAAACAGGTTTCTTGGACATAGATCCCACCCATGGTTGGGGCAATTATTATTGTCATTCAAAACTCTGAGTGCATTTGGTAAGGCGTAGTTAAGATGCAAGTTGCACTGAAGCAAAACTTAATGTACCTTTCTTCATTAGACAAGCTTCTACTATTTCAGCAAAAATAGTAGAAAATTGACTAAAAGAAAGTTGACTAAAAGATCATTAATATAACAAATTCTAAAGCCTGTACAAGCCAGACACATCATTTCAAGGCTAACTTCTAGTCCAACTTCCCAAAAAATCTGAAACGCAGATCCAGATGCAAGCTTCTATTATTCAATACTTTGGAACCACAAGATACAAACCAAACTAGCCACCATACTAGATTTTGGACAAACGTAAAATTGTAAGGTTTAACATAAGGAAAAGAACTTGTTAATTATTTCTTATGTTCCTATATATATAGAAATCTACAAGGATCTGAAATGGAAAAACATAATCAAAATAAAGTTACATTCTTTACCATTTTACACATGTTTAAGTCTCAATGCTGCGTAATTCAAAAGCCAGTAAAAACTGATTTAAAAACGCAAACAACCAAATCACAGCTTGGTGTAAAAAAAAAATCTTCAAGCAATTTCTAGATATTGAAAAGGAAAAAGGAAAACTTTGACATTCTTTACATCCAATCCGGCACAGCAATAATATTCAAGAAAAAAAATGGAAAAACATTGTCCTACTTTCTCAACTGCAAACTTCATCAGAGAATAAAGAAACAGTAACATAAGTAATATATTCATTAGCAGAACTGACCAAGATAAGAGGAAAGGCTCATTCAAGCTGTTGAAAACACTAACAATCAAGTTCTCATTAGTCACTGAAGTAATTTGTGGTCCTGGAAACTGCCCATTTATCAATATCCCCTGCAACATTTCCGATACATTCATAAACGTAACCTCACAAGAAAAATATATATATACCCAGTAAAAATATAACACAAAAACCAAGAAAACGTGAAAATCTTGAATCTTGAAAATCTTGAATCTTGAATCTTGAAGAAGAAAGAAGGAATAAATTACCTGTTGCTTGACACCAAGAGGATAGATATCTCCATAAGTCACGTTCCATGTAAAGAACTGATATGGATCTTCTCCATTGATGCATTTCATTAGTAAAACTACTGCTACCACCATTGCTGACAATCTCCCCAGCCCCATATCTTCTGGCATTTTCACTAATCAACAAACGAAAAAATCCCACAAAAATGGAGAAAAAGAGGGGTCTTTGATGGGATAAATGAGTAGGAAGAGATTTTTATCTATTTAAAGAAAAGCCCAGCAAGTTCTTTAGTTCTTCTTGCTTTCTTGAACCTTATTACTGTGGCAGTATTGGGTTTTTTTTTTTTTGGATCAGGCGTAGAGATTATGGAGAAAATGTGGGGAGGTTGTTTTTAGCAGAACAAGTAGAAGATATGCGAAGTGTCTCCTGTTTTTGGAGGTAAAGCAGTTCTCTTCTTCTCAGACTTCTCTTGAGTTCAGTGACCGCGGTCTTTTTTGTACAGTGTGCAAACGCGGTTACTTTATTATTTGTCTTTTTTAGGTTCTGAATTTCCAGCAGGTTTACAATAGCGGTTCAGATTGGATGGCAAAAAGAGTAACTCGATCTGAACGGTTGCTTTTAATTTTTAATTTGAATATTTTTAATGGATGTCTAATTCAGTACACTTCTTTTTTAAACTTAATTTGGTACACTTTATTTACATTAAATTTGTTAGGTGATTTCAAACACTTACATTTATATCTCCATACATTTAAGCTTTTTTATTTTATTTAATTTCAATCATATATATATACACATATTGAATATATATATATATATATAAATAATAGAACAATGTTTGGTTAATTAGTTCCTTAGATGGTAGGTTGATTATCTATTTTTCAGTCATGTGGACTTCTTTAATTTTTTTACTTTTTATTTTTAATTATTTTTCTCTTTTTTTGTAACAATTGATTCCCTTCCTTTATTAACTTCCTTATTTATAGTAACTTTCAATCAATTTATTTATTTGCACCTTATATATATATATATATATATATTGTATCAATTATACCTTGCTAAATTCTTTTATCAATCAACTTATAGTTTTCCTTTTCTAAAATCTTTCAACAAATTATGTGCAGATCCGTTCAAGTATCAGGTCAAAAACTAGTTGAAAAACTAATACGAGGCATCTTTCGACGAGTGGACACTCATTAAATAAATCTTTTTAATTTTTAACAAAAATAAAATTTAGGCCAAGTTAAACGTAGTTGGATTTGGATTTACTAAAGACCACTTACCTTTTTCTTTTTTCTTTTTTCTTTTTTTGTTTAGGATTTTTTCAACAGATGTTCAATAGACATTCATTAATATGTCTAAATTCGACCTAACTCATCATGTATATATAGTTTACACATACTAATAATTACTGACTTCCCTTTTATTTATATATTTTTCCTAATTAGTGTTACATTTTCAAAAATTTAACACATGAAATACATCTTAACGAGTGCCTAATAAGCATCCATTTTTTATATTTAACTTTTTAATAGTGGTGGTATGAATTTCATTTTTCCTTTTTATTTGGGTGAATATGATTATATATTTTGTTACTGTGTTGAGATTTGCAGTAGCTAATGATTGAGGCATGCCTTATTAATGGACTTAAACAAAGATACAGAGTTGGGCGATAATTAGTTCATGCAATCAACAGTATTTAATATCTCTATTTCATCATTTAATTTGATCTGTACAATGCTAGAGTAGAGGGCATTATGAGAAATCACTACAGATTACATTTCTTTTTTCTTTTTTTTTTTTGAGGAAAATTCATTAAAATAACATTTAAAAAAAAAACCTCCTTTGGCTTTCAATCATAAGAAGGTAAAAGGCAGGCAACCACCAGATAAATTTATTAGGGAAAGTGCAATTTTCCCTATATCACAGGGCTATCCTTGGGTAGGAAAGTGATATTCTGTACCACCTTCTGGTAAGAGTATTAATGCACATTACTTACCAAAACCTATGCTCCTGCATGGAAAATTAATAGCCAACATCAATGTTCAATGTATATATGGTCCTGCAGTTGTGAATTTTTTTATGTGTTTTTATTATTTATTGATATAAATAGTACTAGATATTTTCTTAGGGCCCTTCTACTCTACACGTTTTACAATGCAAGCTCCATATCATTTTTTGGGTATAAATATAAATTTTTCCAAGAAAGTGTTTGCAATTTAAGGGGTATATGATAATTTTAGGTATTTTATCTTGAGGATAAAAAATAGAAAAATCCCTCTTCTAACACTTTTATAGTTGAATTTTAAACGACGATTATAGGTATCATGAGAATCATTACATACGAAATTTGTATAGTTCCGGATTTGATCCCTCAAGTATAAAATGCTGCAATTTGATCCCACTTATAGTCTCAAATTTGTATTATTAGGTTCTTAAATTTATCCGAAACTTTGAAACATCAAAGACCAAAAAAGACATGGTTAAAATTTTGTCAATAATATGCCCTGTTTGAATTGCCATTTTCTGCCAGAAAATTACGTCGTTTTCCATGATCACATTTCCCTATTACCTTTTTCCCTCACATACATCAAATCGCTACGGTAATTTTTCCATAAAAAATGACGGAAAATGCAATTCAAACGGGAATGGGCCAACACCGCAATTTTGATAGGGTATTATTTAAAATATTATTTGGAATAATTACTGTAGCATATTTTGTGATGTGATGTATGTGAGATAAAAAGGTGATTGAAAATATAAAAAGGTGGATTGGAAAGTGTGTTTATGATGCAAGCAAAATATTATTTGGAATAATGGAATTATCCAAACAAATATATCAATAATGTCTTCTTCCCGTCACATATCCGTGTGAATGTGATCTATTTGGGTCACACTTTTTTGACTTGGTGCACCGATTTTTGGGTCAGAAAAACAAGAGTCAAATTTGTATAGGACTTATGGTTTAAGCAACAAAAGTAATTTACACAATTAGATATAATCAATCACCTGTCCCCCTGTCTCTGTCTGTTCCTATGCTGCAATTAATTTAAACTACGCTCAAATTGCAGATTTTGTCATCTGTTTACCCTTTTCGAGGAAACAATGGGCAACACTACCAGATGTAAAGCAGTTTTATTTTACGTCTACATATGACCTTTTAATATACAATGACAGTGTATCGTTGAATTTATGATATATATAAAAATTAAATTTTAAATTTAAATTTTATATAATTGTCATTCATAAAAAATTGATATTACGTGTAGAAAAATTAGCTCACGTAGCCATTTTTCAGACGTGTAAGACCCACATGGCTGAATATGTCAGAAATTGACAACAGGAGCCCCGCGTATGTGTGTGTATATATGTGTATATGTGCGCACACATACACACACGCAAATAATCAGTCTGTGCACATTAGGAATATTAATCCATGCAATTATTTTAACTAGATTTCACCTCACCAGGTAAATCCCTCCCCCAAAGCAGTATTTGAATAGACAAAAAAAAAATAAAGAGAGAACAATAAAGAAGTGATGAAGGGAAGAAAAGGGCTAAAGGATGTTGGACACTTAATGGGAATACATCTTCTAAGAGTGTCTAAAGACTGCCATTGCATTGACAAAAAGCAGAAAAAGATAAAAGAACAATTGCAAAAGAGCTTATCGATTAACTTTAAAAGGATTCTGATGTCGGTTACAAACTTGAGACTTTATACAGAGAGTGTTAGCTTAGCCTCTCAAATGTGTGTTGCATAATTTATATGCTAATAAGTTTTTACATCAAGAAACTTTTTTATATTAATTCTTTTTTTTTTTGTTTAAGCTTTGCCTTCTAGAACTTGAAAAATGAGTGACTTATTAGAAATATGCTTTGATTTATTTTTCATGTTTGACAAATTAAAACTATTTTTCTTAAAGATCTATTTTATATACATTTGTAGGACTAATGACAGGAATGATCTACTATTATCCCTACAGAAACAAATACACCTTATTCAAAAGAAACAAATTTAAACTTATATCAAAAAAATTTTTTGTGGGTTCTTATTATTTTTTCTTTTTGCGTAAGAGTTCTTAATCTTTATTCACTTATTAATGTAAATCCTATACGCAAAATGGCCAAAAAGAAAAGAAAAGAAAAGGCATGGCTCTGCAATAAGTTCTTTTTTGTTTTCAAAGAAAAGAATAAAGAAATACAGAAAAATGTGTGAAAAAGAAAGAAAAAGAAAGGCAAGGAGAATGGAACTTTTTGACCTTCCACGTGGTGTCAGCATCCTCATGGTCCACTACCAAATCCGATCCTAATCAATGTCACATTCATGTCCATGCAACATCACATCAACTGTAAATGGGGTTGTCTCCAGTTCCAATCTCTTTAGTTGCGTAAAGTGATAGAATTTCGATATAAACTGCTGTCTCCAGTTCCGGTTCTCTTTGGTTGTGTAAATCAATAGAATTTCGATATAAATTGATGTCTCCAGTTCCATTCCAGTTCTCTTTAGTTGTGCAAATCAATAAAATTTCAATATGAACTGATACAATTTTAATGTAAACGTGAATTATAATTAAATTGATATAAATTCACAATTATACTAAAAGCATATTAATTTAAGTGTGCGTTTGATAAAACTGAAATCTAAAATCTGAATCCATTAAATTATTGAATTGTTAAGCATTAAATCTAATACATTTAAATGCATATCACATTTAGTGATAAGTGAATAACTTAGGGTCTGTTTGATAACATAAAAAAGTGCTGAAACTGAACTTTTTCAGACATTCAGATGTTTTGAGTGTTTGATAAATTAAAATCCATCTGTTGAACTTGTGTGTATTTTTTTCAGCACAAGAATTCTAATTGAATGTTTAATTCTGATAAGAATCAATAGAATTCTTTCAACTACCTTATCTTATCTACCAAATCTACCTTTGTTTGTTAATTATGTTCAAAATTATTATCTAATTAAACAAACTAATATTCTCTATCTAAGGGTTTTCTATTTCTCTTTTCTCCATTTTTAATGACTTTCACATTTTCTCGATACTCCTCATATAATATATTTCATCTTTTTATATTAATTTGATTTAAAATAAATATTTTCATTTTCATACATAACAATTTTAAACTAATTAAATCATAGGTTCTATTTCTTTTTTGGATGGAAAGATATAAAGGCAAAATTGTCAAATTTAACTTATTAAGCATTCAGTTATAAATATTTAACAAATAGTATAAATAGGTTTAGCATTAAAATTCAGACATTTATATATTTCTTTTCAGAGCTTAAAATTCAGCAAATTAATTGTTTCAATATTCAGATTCTGTTTTATCAAACGGAACCTTATCATTTAATTTTGGGAACAAGTTTTGTCTAAGAAATCCAGTGTCACTTAATTAATTCAAATGCTCAATTTTTGGTTATCAAAAAGCTCTGAATATGTTA